TCGATGATCAATAGGATTATATGGGAGCTTTTGACGTTAAGCCTATATGCTGTTGTGTTTCAATTATATATGTATGCTTTTGTAATTAAGAATAAAAGAAAATGAATTTGGTCTGTGAACGGAGGCAGTATAAAGGCATATTGTACCTAAGAAAGCCACCTTGTTCTCAGGTACGTCCAAACTCCCTTCGTCAAAATATTAGTATTATCTATATATGGTTAAAATAATTTTTTAGATATATAGTAGATGTTGAACCTTCTCTGTTATTTATGTGTCTATTCATTTAAATTTTGAACCTTTTAATTAAAAATCTCGAATTACTACAACTCAGAAACTATAAATGGAAATGAAACTGCATTTGTCACTTGCAATTGACCAGCATAAGACGGCTGCTTAAACTAGCAAATGTTACATTAATTTTCTGTTAAAATTTGGGCATCTGCTTTTTCCTTAGGCATATAAAAGGAAATATACCAGAAGTGAATTGCTTATATCTTTTCCGTATATATACTAACAATATCTCTTTGATATAAAAATGATTCTTCACGCCTCAAAATAATCTTCTTCTTCAATCATATGCTTACCAACCATTAAACAGGACTAATGTATATAATTAATACATTCTTAATTTTTATTCTATTCACAAATCAAACAAATAATGAAATTAATACATAAATAATCAACAAAAATGGGTCCTAAAAAATAGGAAAAGTTAAATAAAAAAGAAGAAAAAACTCATTAAAGCATTATTGAGCAAGATGGGACGGAAAAGAACAGGTGCATGGGCGCAACGTGCTAAAATAAAATCGTACTTTAATGGTTGCCATCCAACATTGTATGGTTGTAATTTTTTTAATTTTTAAAATAAGATAGGGGGTTCAACCCATCAATGCCTCTTAAATTTAACATTAATTTTCACTTACACATCATAAGTGAGTCTTATTCATTTTAAACATCTAAAATGGATTTTGATTGTCATTTTGACATTTTTTTTATATTTTCAAATGAGTTTTAAATTTTATGCTCTGTCGGTGTATACTTCTTTTACACTAACACATACTTTTAAGACAAGTTTCTTTTTTTATTAATATTTTTCTTTTATAAAATAAAAGTATCAAATATAGTAATATAAGGTAATTAGGATTCTACTTTTATTTTACCCATTTGTTTAAGATTCTCTTTCTTTGCTAAATAAGATTATCAACTTTTATAGAAGTAAATGAGCATAAAGCTTGATATACAGAGCTTCAAGACTCTGGAGAGGAAAGTATCTAGAGTTTGGTTGTTAGTTTTCCTTTCCCTAGAAAATAATTTTAGCTTCTAAAGTACAATTTTTGTTCAAAAGCTTATTTTTAAGTTTACTCCCGGCATAATTATTATTTTAACTCAAGTTTAGAGCTTTAAATTGATTTGTGTTTATTTACTCATATGACTTTTGCAATTGTGATCCTCTGTTTCTATTTATCAAATAGATGGCATTATGATTTTTCATCTACATTTGCTAACATAAAATTTTCAAAAGTAAATTTTTTTCCACTTTAATACTTATTAAAAAATTCCACTTTAATATTTAATGTAAAAAAAATTTTACTTGTGAAATTTTTATGATAGAAAATGTAGATGAAAAATCATAATATCATCTATTTGATAAGAAAAACAGAGGATCACAATTGCAAAAATCATATGAGTAAATAAACACGCAAATCAATAATTTAAAGCTCAAAACTTGAGTTGAAATGATAATTGTGTCGGGAGTAAACTTAAAAATAAACTTTTGAACAAAAATTATACTTTAAAGTTAAAATTTATTTTCTAGGGAAAGGAAAAGTAACAACCAAACTCTAGATACTTGCCTCTCTATGAGTCTTGAAGCTCTGTATGTCAAGCTTAATACTCATTAAATTCTGTAAAAGTTGATAATTTTATTTAGTAAAGAAACAGAATCTTAAACAAATGGGTAAAATAAAAGTAGAATCCTAATTACCTTATATTACTGTATTTGATACTTTTATTTTATAAAAGAAAATTATTAATAATAAAAAGAAACTTGCCTTAAAAGTATGTATTAGTGTAAAAAAAATATACACCGACAGAGCATAAAAGTTAAACTCTTTTTAAATTTAGCTTAGGCGCGTTAGACAAACGCTTTTTACATGAAGAAATAACAAATCTACATATGACAAGTGAATTTATTTTTATTTTTTTAAATTCATTTTCTTTATTTTTTTCCATATCTCTAACTTCTAACCCAGGCCCCACCCCTTTCTTCATTTTCTTTACATGCCTTTTTTTTTCTAAAACTCCACCAAAAACACGGGGAAGTACAATTTGTATTTTCTCTCCCTCACATGTAACTATAGTTGAAAATGAAGACACAAATAAGAATTTATCTTCCTCGAAACATTCATCTTCATTGTAATTACAGAAGATATTAACTATAAATTCAAAAATTAATTATCTGATTTATAACTATACATAATTATTTTTTTTATTTCTATTAAATATACAAAAAGTAGAGACAGAAAAAAATTATATTGAGACTGAAACGATATAAAAAATAAAATTTTAGGAAAATGCTTCTTTTTCGAAACAGTAATCATCTTACTGTTTTGATGTTCAATAGATCTGCACACTTAAGAGGAAACGATTAGTGATAAGCGATTATCATGTCACTGGAAATTATGGATGAAAAATTAAATGTGAGATCACAAAATAAAAAAAATTGATTCTCAAGAAAGAGGAAGAAAACAAGTAATATACTAACCTAACAAAACAGAGAGAGCTTGAGAAAAAAAATAAATGCAAGAGGGTGGTGGAAGGAGAGAAAAGTGAGGAAGAAGACAGCAAAAAAAAACTTTTCAAACGTGCTCAGAATTCGTGTAGCACACATATAATATTGAGTCATCGAAAAGTGTCCAGAGACACAATACAAACCAACTATAGGTGTTCAAAATGAACAAAATCTATATAAGGTGTTTAATGAAAGTTAGTGTAAGTTTAAGGGGCTATCGATGGATTCAACCTATAATATAAAAGGGTAGCTTGACACTCCTTGAATAAAGATGGGTCTACCCGAGCAGTTTAAGGACCCGTTTGACCATAGATTTCCCAAATAATATTTGGGAGAAAATTTAGCAAATAGTGTTTGTCCATACAAGTTGTCATTATTTTGCAAATATCTCAAATGTACAAATATTAATTTTTTCTAGTATATGGACCAAATTTCATTATTTGAAATCTTTTAAAATTGAAATTTTATTCCAAACTTTTATATTCTATAAAAAAACACCTTCTTTAGTAGTCGTTTGCTTTGTATTACATAATATTTTATGTGAACACCAAAGTAGTGATGAAATATTTACGATGATATGGTTGTTGATGAAAATGATGAATTATCGACTCAAGGTAACAAAATCACTTGTTTTGACTAGTTCAAGATATATAGGCATTCACTCTAAACTACCACATTGTTCTAGCATTATGGACACTACTTGTTACTTGTTGCAAAGAAGAATCAATTGATTTATAATATAAACTAATGGCTAGTTTTGATAGTTTTTAAAACTTATTAGTATAAATCATATTTTTAAAAAATATATTTTTCAAATATTAGGGCTAAACATATGGTGAAATTTGATCCAAATACTTATCCATATAATATTTATCAAAAATATTTAAAAATCTATTATTAAACACTAGCTAAATAACCAACCAATTAAGCTATTAAAATTGTGAAAATATATGGCTGTAATTGAGAAGAGCAATCTAAAATTTGAAAACTAACTCACGTGTGGGCTTTCCCTAACATAATTGTTATCTTTTTAGTACAATTCTCAATTTTTTTTTGTTGGGTTATTTCATTCCTGATTAATTTTGCTTTCTATCTGTATTTGTCATTTTTAGCTTTCTATTATTTTCTATTTCTAGTTTTCTCCCATTGTTTCCTTTCTTCCTACCCATCACTTTAAAAGTTCGTTCATTTTTGCTTCATTTAGTTTTTTCTACTCTTCCATACAATTTTATTGCCATCCACACATTCATAGTTTAATGTTACACGTAACTATATATTATAAATAAAGTTATGTAAAAATAAAAACAGTATGACTATAAAAAAAAGTAAGTCTCGATTATTGTATCTTGTGAAGTTATTGCCATCTATGATGGGCAATATCTAAATATAATTTTCCCATTTTAGATATTAATATTTAAAATTTAGTAAGTGCATGCATATGAATATCATATATATTTTAATATATTATTTTAGACATGATTATATAATTTTTTGAATATATTTTTTATGTAGGATATTTTGATAAAGATCGTACTTCTAAAATTATAAATAATCTTGAGGTTATAAGTAAAATGTTATTATGAAGACAATAAAATATAATATAAAAAAATTAGTTCTATAAAAGAAAACAGATTTTTATACTCAATTTAAAGGGATGATTGTTCTAACGAGACCAAGGGAACAAAATCGCTGCTTTAAATTTTATTTAAAAAAAAAAATTGAAAATCTCTGTCTAGGCAGCGATTTTCATATTTTAATTTTTTTTTCTTATAAAATCGCTGCCTGGGCAGCGACTTTCACATTTTCAAAATTTTTTTGTTTTCTTATTTAAAAAAATAAATTAAAATCGCTGCCTAGGTAGCGATTTCATTTTTTAAAAAAAAAATTCACATTTTGCAAAATCGCTGCCTCTGCAGCGATTTTTGCTTTTTCCGGTGGAGTAAATCGCTATTGATGCAGCGATTTTGCCGTTTTGGTTAATATAAATTTTATATACTGTTTTGAAATTTTTGTTAATATTTTGTACCCTTTAGACTCCGGACTCAATAAAAATATATAATAGTCTAAAAAATTACACTGATAACAATCTTCTTTTTTATGATGGATTTTGTGTATATATGTAATTATAATATTTTTATTAGGTTTATGCTTAGCACGGGTGTTTATTATTGTTACATAACACCGAATGTGTTTCAGGTAACAATTTAATGATAATAACATTGATGTAAACTGTATACTAAAGCAAGTTCAGTGTAATAAGCTCGGAATAACGTACGAGACTAGATTCGATCACACGTCCTTGCGGCCTAACTCAACCACTTTAACCGACTAATTGCTTAGAAGTCCAAGACCATTAATTAATTATTAATCCTACTATTTTTTCAGCCTCTATAAATTAATAGAGACAAACTCTTCAGAATGTGCGAGTCTATAACAATTACCTTCAAAAGATTTTCTGGTGTATAGTTTGAGTTTGCTTTTTGAGAAAAACGAAATATCGATGGATTTAATATTATCATCGAAAAAAGCTGATAAAACCATAGTGGAAGTTGAAGGAGTTGGTGGATACTACACATGGTCAAGTAGCCAATTTCCCGTTCTAAGCCAGAAACAAATAGCAGCTGGATTATTACTTCTTCAGCCTCGTGGCTTAGCTTTACCTCACTATGCCGATTCCTCTAAAATTGCTTATGTTTGTGAAGGTACATTGGACATATATATATAATATTGGTGTTTTAATTTGTTTGTGCAAAATTTAAAACATGTTCTAATATTTTTGATGAAAAATGAGTCTATGAACTCATTGATTTTGATGTCAAATTCTGGACAAAATTAAGGACAATATGATGAAGAAGGAGAAGAAGGAAGAATGTATTGAGCTTGTGAATTATCTGAACTTTCTAACTATTACAATGGAGCTTTACATATAGCATCCAAAATCAATGACTCAACTAATTATTAGCTAACTAACAACTCTAACTAATAATTGGAAATGCACTGTACACTGTATAACTAACTATCAATCAATCTGTTATAATGCTAACAAACTAGTGCATGTTGTTAGCTGTTACTAACTAACAATATTAACAAACTAACAAACTAGTGAGTGCTGTAAGTATTGATTAACAATGTTAACAGAGATCTTTAGTATGTAAATTTTAACAATTTTTATAACAGGTGAATGCATTGCTGGACTGATCTCACCAGAAGATTCAAAAGAAGAAGTTGTAAAAATACAAAAAGGGGATACTATACCAGTAACCTTGGGAACAGTGTCATGGTGGTACAATGTTGGTGATTCTAAACTCACTATAATTTTCTTGGGAGAATCGTCTGATGAATACACACCTGGAGAATACTGTTATTTCTTTTTAACAGGAGCTGCTGATATACTAAATGGATTCCCTAATGAAGTAATTGCTAAATCTTTTCACATGAAAAAAACTGAATCTGAAAAACTCATGAAGGATCAAAGTAGTTTGAATATATTAATTAAGGTAAATGAAGGTATACCAATTCCAAACCCATCCAACAGCGCAAAACGCAAGTTGGTTTACAGCTTGTATGATGCAAAGCCTTGTGTTGATGTAAAAAACGGTGGAGTTTTATCTTCGGTGAGTGGTAAGAATATAGCGTTGCTTGGAGAGATTGGATTAAGCGCGAATCGCCTAGTTTTGGAACGTGGTGCTGTACTTGGTCCGATATTTACAGCAGATTCGTCTATTCATTTGAGTTATATTACAAAAGGAAGTGGACGTGTTGTAATTGTGGGACTTTCTGGTAAAGTTGTGTTGGATACAAAAGTGGAAGAAGGACAACTGTTTTTTGTACCAAAATTCTTTCCATTTGTAGTGGAAGCTGATGAAGGAGGGATCGAATTATTCTCCCTGAAAACATCGTCAAAGTAAGTAGTCATCATATCGTTTAACTAAGATAAAAACTAAAACATGCAAATAAATGATATGATATTATTGTTCTATATGTATTTACAGGCAAACATACGGAGAATTATCGGGTGGGAAAAAATCAATTTGGGAAGCAGCATCTCCATCAATTTTGGAGGCCTCTCTAAACATGACTCCGGATTTGACCAAGTCTTTTAAGTCCAAGATTGCTAAGGGTTCAGTGATTGCTCCACCTTCAACTGCTTAAGTAATTACTTGCTTGTTAGACATATGAGTTTAACAAGTGCATAATAATATAATGTATATGTAATTATAAGCTGAAAATAAGACCGATGATGAAGTTTCTGTGTGTGGAAACTTTGCCTGAATGCATGCTTATATGCATGGATTATTTCTTATACTATATGATATAAAAGGAAAATAAATCTTATTAAATTAGTGTGTACTGAACTTTGAGGTATATTTTACATTTTTATGATAAGCTTGTTAATGCTATGCGGATATGTACAATAATATGGATGTTATTGGTTGTTAAATGAATGTATATTATCTACCGTATACATGTGGAATGTATATTCACTGTAGCGCTATCACAGGAAAACAGAAAACAGTTTTGAGTATATTTGAAATAGAAAATGCAAACGAGAATATGAATTGGAAATGAACACTTCCATATTGAATTGATTCTTGGAATTTTCCTTTGGTTGAATGATGTTGAAAATCATTTTGCAACCATTGTACCAAAACTCATTTCCGCCATCTACATACGCATCCATTTTCCAGTTCTTGGTTGGGAAGAATTTCGTTAAACTTGGCCAACAAGTTCATGCTCACATGGCCGTTCGAGGGGTTTCTCCCAATGGATTAGTCGCAGCCAAAATGGTAGCTATGTATGCCAGCTCCGGTGAAATAGACTCTGCCTCGTATATTTTCGATAGTGCCACTGAACCCTCTTCGCTTCTGTACAATGCCATGATTCGAGCACTCACCCTTTATGGGATTACCAAAAGAACAATAGAGATTTTCTTTCAAATGCATTCATTAGGCTTCCGTGGTGACAATTTTACTTTTCCCTTTGTTTTCAAGTCGTGTGCTGATTTGAGTGATGTTTGGTGTGGGAAGTGTGTTCATAGCTTGATTTTAAGGTCTGGATTTGTGTTTGATATGTATGTAGGCACTTCTTTGGTTGATATGTATGTGAAGTGTGGTGATTTGATTGACGCTCGTAAACTGTTTGATGAAATGCCAGTGAGAGATGTATCTGCTTGGAATGTATTGATTGCTGGGTACATGAAGGATGGGTTATTCAAAGATGCTGAAGAATTGTTTGAAGAAATGCCAATTAGGAATATAGTGTCGTGGACAGCTATGATTTCTGGATATGCTCAGAATGGTTTAGCTGATGAGTCGTTGCAATTGTTCGATAAAATGTTGGATCCTGACTCGGAGGTGAGGCCTAATTGGGTGACAGTTATGAGTGTTTTACCTGCTTGTGCACATTCTGCTGCACTAGATCGAGGGAAGAAGATACATAGTTTTGCTAGAGAGGCGGGATTGGAGAAGAACCCTTCGGTGCAGACAGCTCTTATAGCCATGTATGCTAAATGTGGAAGCTTGGTTGATGCTCGTTTGTGTTTCGATCAGATAAACCCAAGGGAGAAGAAATTAGTTGCTTGGAATACAATGATTACTGCTTACGCATCCCATGGTTTTGGGCGGGAAGCTGTTTCAACGTTTGAGGATATGTTACGAGCTGGTATACAGCCTGATAAAATCACATTTACAGGTTTGCTATCAGGTTGTAGCCACTCAGGTCTTGTGGATGTTGGACTGAGATATTTCGATTGTATGAGTTTGGTTTACTTTGTGGAGAAGGGACATGACCATTATGCTTGTGTTGTTGATCTTCTTGGTCGTGCTGGACGATTAGTGGAAGCATATAACCTCATTTCTCAAATGCCAATGGCAGCAGGACCAAGCATTTGGGGTTCCTTATTAGCAGCTGGTCGAAGCCATCGCAACTTAGAAATTGCAGAATTAGCAGCTAAAAAGCTGTTTATCTTGGAACCAGACAACAGTGGGAATTATATTGTGCTCTCTAATATGTATGCAGAAGCTGGAATGTGGGAGGAGGTAACTCACTTAAGGATTCAACAGAAATCCCGTCGTATTATGAAGAGCCCTGGATGTAGTTGGATTGAATTTGACGGGAAGGCCCATTTGTTCCTTGGAGGAGATACATCTCATCCACAGGCAGAGCAAATATACTTGTTTCTGGAGGCACTGCCCGCCAAGATAAAAGCAGCTGGTTACATGCCAGATACTACTTTTGCTTTGCATGATGTGAGTGAAGAGGAGAAAGAGCAAAACCTAAGTAGTCATAGTGAGAGGTTGGCAATTGCCTTTGGCATTCTTAATACAAGCCCTGGTACAGTTCTCCGAGTGACAAAGAATCTTAGAATCTGTGGAGACTGTCATACTGCTATAAAACTTGTCTCTAAGATATATGAAAGAGAGATCATTGTAAGGGATGTGAATCGGTTTCATCATTTCAAAGATGGTTCTTGTTCCTGCAGAGACTACTGGTGACTAAAAATGAAGATGTTAATATCTCTAATTTGAACTCAGATGAGAATTCTTGTAGTCGTTATGCATAACCATTTCGGACGCTACCAACTGTAATGATCAGCCGTGTTCACTGTCTACACAAATTATTAAGCTCCTGTGCATTTGTACTCGAGCTATTTCCTCATTGAACTATCACCCGATTGGTGAATGACAAGCCTCAAAATGATGGAAGTTTCCTAAATGTTGAAGGTGAAGTATCTTTCTTGGAGGAATGTTGTTAGACTTTGTAATAATCAACTTTTGGACAAGCCAGTTCAAATCTCAAAAAATGGCTGGGACACCATTGTAGTTGAGACACCAAAACTGGGAACTTGTGTTGAGGATGTCATTCACCGTTACATGGAAGCTCAACACAAGAATAAACCAGTAGACCTGTTATTGCTCGCTCTTGGTTACCTTGAAACATAGAGAAGATGAATGTTCTAGAGTCAATTTGTTGACGAAGATAGAGTATTGTATTTATAGCATATAACATATAGTAACATAAATTCAACAACTCGTCAAAGTGAAAATGATTGAAGAATGGAATGTATAGATGTATAAGCTTAGTGGGAAATTTTTAACCATTGGAAAAAGAAAAAAGCATTTTATGGGGTGAGAGAGGCTCGAACTCTCGACCTCAGGATTACTCAGAAGCTATGAGACCTACGCGCTAGCCAACTGCGCCACCACCCCGTTGTTGTTATGCAATCAACATTTGCAAATTATTCTAAAATGTGAATTATATGATAAACTTTATGTATTCTAATATGTGACATGCAATGACTGACCGAAAGTTGCGCAATATTCATGGAACCCTTTTTTTTTTTAATTGAAGTACCCTCCAGTTTCATATTTTACCTCTTGTGTCAATACTTGCATTGGCCATAAGGTGGTTTATCATTACATTGTGTTAGGATTGATTTCGGGGGGCTGTGCAGGCTCAGAAATTCCGCCTTCTTCTGCTACTCCTAAGTAAAAGTTAAATAGTTCGTCTTTCTCAAATTCATGTGATTTTCTGATAATAATTTTACGCGTGTTCTTGATGGCTTTGCAGCAATCTGACAATGGCATGTTCAGCTCAAGTGATGTAAAGTTTGATTAGCAATATACAAGCACCACTAATAACTATCCAACAACTAATCACCAAGCTACATAAGCATTCCTAGAATATGCTGCTGGCAAGGCTCACCACCCCTCAACACATAATCAACAGGGCACAATTTCTTTTATATATTAACACGTGATTTTTATACATTGTTCTTTCTGATGTACGGATAAGGTACCAGAGTAGTTGTTCCCGACACTTGATTTAGCCTTTTCTATAGTTAAGCTAAAAGAGTTTTTTGTGTCAATGAAATGACAAGCACTTCCCTCTCCTCAACGGGATTCCTCAACTGCGACACTCGAATAAGTACAAGTGAGACTATCCACTGCTGCTCCATTTTCTTTCGTTTTACTCCAAGATATTCTCCAACTTTGAAATAAACTCACCCTGTAGGAGAGTGAAATGGAATCATGGATGGCCAGCTTAAATTAGAGATTCAGAGAGAGAAAGAAAGATGCAACTGTACCTATTTGTTTCAATGTCCCTTTTAGCAAGCATTAATGTCAAGAAGACAGGCACCATTGCTGCACATAAGTGTTTGACTGTGTGCCCACTTACAATATGATAAGTCCAGTTGTAGATTGGCTTATCAGCTGCTTCTTCAATCTTCGCTAAAAGATAAAACCCTGCATTATGCAGAGAAATGCCATTTTACATGCTGTAAGAATGAGGTCACAGAACCAAGTGGACAAAATAAATCCAAACCTGCAGCCCACAGCCAATAAGTGGAATGTGTGTACATCGGAGGTAGCAAAATAGCCATGAGTGGGATGGCTAAGCACGGTACAAATTGCACTGCTGCATAGGGACGAAGATCATCAAAGAACCTTCAGAATGAAAATGTACAATCACACAACAGCTTTAGCTGAAAAATATAAACGATATCAAGTAAAAAACTCCAGTTATTTACTACAGATCTATACCATCCAATCCCCTCTAGCACACTTGGAAAATGAAAATGCAAGAAAAAGCAAAATCACATCCAATATATAATATAATTTTGGATAAATAAAAACCAGAACTCTATTCAATAATCTTCCTAAGCCTAGCTTCGGTGTTCTACCAAGCTGAAACTCAAGGAGGATAGCTTGTTCCTAGTGAAGACACCTTTCTTAGCTCTATAATCTTACAATCTGTAAGGATACATGATTGCAGAGATTAGTTCAGTTTTTTGGAAAGCTGACACAGGCGAAGGAGTTGAACAGAGGAGTAGATTCTCCCTTATGAGAAGTGGAAAAAAACCCGGGTAAATTCTCAGTGAAGGAATGCTATAATGTCCTGACCAACTCAGTAACAAGGGAACTTGGAAACAAATCTGGAAAGGGAAACCTCAGAAAGTAGCTTGTTTTCTTGGATAATCACATATGATGCAGTATCTTATACTACACTAATACACCTATTGAAAAGGGGACTTAAATATTATTGAGAAAGAAAAGGGGACTTCAATATGTGCAGTAGATATAACACACGCAAAACCAGTGATGCGAACTTTAAGCATATTCGCATTGTTCTTTCAAGTGGCAGTTTTGGTGTTTGTTTCTGAACCTTTTTGGTGTCATGGTGGGTGATGACTAAGGATGTTAGGCACTCCAGTACGTATGGACAGAATATAAAGAAACCATTGAAATTTATGCACTCTATGGATCATCTGGAAAGGAAATACAAGTGTTTTGAAGGAAGATTTGAAGCTATATAAAGTGTAAAATATAGAGACTTTTTGGTATTTGGTTTAAATGCAAAGTATATATGATTTTGACAGTCTGATGACTTCAGAACGCCTAACATACTCGGTAGTCTACTATTATGTAATTTGGTAATATACGCACTTGTGTTGCATTTTTGAGTAATGTAATTGTCTAAATTATCTAAAGAAAGAACGAAAAGAAGGAACATGGAAGGAGAGGACCCTCAGGGAATATAATATATCCAAGGATACACTCTGCAGTTCTTCAACTGTTTCTTTTTCTTTTTTCTTTAAAGGTGACTTTTTTGGGGTGGGAGGAGTTTATTAGCCATTGTTGAAATAAGAAGCTTACCTCCAATACATAATACTTACTACACCAGCAAGAATTAATGGAATGAGAGACACAGTTCCCTTTCTCTCATCTATTCTTTCGATAATAAAGATACCAATGATAGACGTAAATGCAACAGTCATCTACAACAGTAAGAGACGAGGTGTCAAAAATAGGCACACAGAAAAAACTTCAATAATCAACAGTTTGCTCCTAGCATTTAATACTTAGATAACCTACTGGCAATCTATCCCACACAAGACGAGCATCATTTGGCTTGAGATGATAGTATGCAGACCCAAAAGCAACAGCTGCCACACCAATATAGAAGCACGTCCAACCCCAAAGCTCTCCTTGCAAGCTTTCGATGCACATGTCAAATGGAATAAGCTTTAAGTACTGGACATATATACTAGAATGCAGAATCACAAAGTCAAAAGCCTTAACCATCATCAAACCAGATATATCTCAACAATTTACCTCAGCTTAAAATAGTTACCATGATGGCAAAGTACAAGACCTATCAGACCGATCACAAGAAAAGGGAAATTTGAGACCACATTCAGTGCATTGGGAATCCCTACATAAGAAAACAGAAGCATGAAAAGTTCAGCAGCAAATCCTAAATGCATATATATCACCAACTAGCCAAGCAAACTGAACTGCTGACATGAAAACAGGACTAGCAACATTATTTTTTTTTTGACGACAAGAGAAACCCACAGCCGCTACCCTTTTGGGTGTGCACAGGGTAAAATCCCGCTCCTATGCAATAGCTCGCAAACCACATAGAAGAGGTAACCGCACCAGGCTTGAGCTCGACCCAGAAGGCAAACCCCTTGCTTTCGCTGGCAAGGGGTTTCGAACTTGAGACCTCCAACATAGAAGTCCCAAGCTCAAACAACTGGGTCACCCCGAAGGGTCAGGACTAGCAACTTTAAGTACGTGATAAAAGGTAAATTTGAGATTACATATCGTGCAATCTTAATAAAGTGAATTTCGGTGATCATGGAATTCAAACTTGTTAAATTTCACTGCATTGTAGAGCAAAGAGACAGAATATTTGCTATTTTAGCTCAAAAAATTACCAAATACGAGTGGACACTAGTAAGATAAATTCAATAACATAATCAATAACCTAGCTGTTTTTGGTTATTGATGACCTAGAGTTCAATTTGTGTCGCATAGTGATAAAGTGGACAAAAAAAAGTGTAGGGACAAGGGAGGAGATTATACCAAAGGATAGTTCACATTTGTCATTCAGTTAATACCTACAGAATTGGTGCTTATCTGCAGAAATCAATTTTAGATAATCCCATCTAGGTTCACTATTAACCTCTAGGTACTTTTTGTGAGAACTATGGACACTATCGAATAGTGAGAAGTCTAAAACAAATTCTTTTATATACATTCAAACCACTATTGGTCATATTGCTCTTCATCAAGAAATCAAAGAAGCTATGCAGGGGTTTTCTCTAGCCTATTCATATAGTACCTAAAATAATTGTATGATACCAGTGGGAATTCGGACTCTCCTATTCAGTTAGGTCCATAATTCCAAAATTTATACACAAATTTAGATCGATAAACATAAGTATTGCAATCACATGCTTCAGTGAAAAATCAGAGAAAAATTCAGCATATAACAGAGAGAAAACAAGCATTCTGCTGCTTGCTTTGTCCCCCTGAGTATCTACGATAAACTTCTTCATTTTCTTCTTCTTGTTTTCCATGAATCTGATTTAATCATGTTGTCACAATCCCCAATCTCAGAAGTCCCAACTTCGAACAAGAAAATCATCACAATCATCATTATTTTTTAAGACTCCGAAGCAATTAGTTGATGGCATTATCATTCAGAACTAACTGAAACAACTCACCTACATTTAACCATATTTTGACACTGATAAAAGTTGAAGAAGACTCCGAAGCAACTAGTGAACAAAGAAAACTAAAAAAAAGAAAAAAAAAGAAGCAACAACAGCCAATCCATGAATCATAACCTAGAACTCATACCAATATAGCAAATTGAAAGCAGAAGATCCAAGATTTTAGAGAAAGAAAATACATATACTCCAAATTACTAATAATTAATGATGCTTATACCTAGAAACTTGCGTTGATCGGCAAAATTATGATATTCTTGAGACTGAGGAATTGCTGGAGTAACAATCATGAGCACTACGAAGCAGACGATTGCGACTCCCCATGCCCACACACTTGTCTTCCTCATTTTCTTGGTGTTAATTTTGCCCTAATTATGATGATGATGCTCAACCTCTCTCACTTCTTCGGAGAAACTCTTTCAACGGAAGGAAACTTCTCCGCTAAGTCGCTTTTTACTTGCGCTTAATCCATGTGAGTTTATTTATTAAAAAAAATGGGAATTTTATTTCTCCTGTATTTTTGGTAAATAAAAAATAGGCAATTTCTGATTCATATTACTTGCCGTATTTTAATTTTACACCTTCCTTAATATA